GATTTCTTCATCCCTTCTACTCATTTTTATGTTATCATTTTTAATATTCTAGGAATTCTCTGAAAATTCCTTGCTTTCAGTTTCCTGTTCTTGTTACATGAATGCAATATTTTCTGTTTATTTTGAGAATACTAATTAAAAATATCAATTATTGTGTTTTATTTTGTATTTTGGTCCCCTGAATTATCCTTGTTTCCTGAATTCTTTTTTGCATTTCTTTGTCTTGGTTTCTCTCTTTTTTGTTAGAAGATGGTCTCAACATCTGGTTAGCTGGTAGTAAACTCACATGGAAGAATCAGTTATAAAAGAGCTATTGGTAGCTCTGTTGATCAATAGCAGGCTTCATTGTGAGTGTATCAGCTGGCTGTTTCACCAAGGTCTCTACTTGGCAGGATCTGTAGCCCTTTTTCCAGAGCTCATCAGTTTTCACAGACAGGAATTCTCCAACATTTTGCCAGGAAGGCATTCCCAGAACCAAAGGTGAGAAGGGACTGTGACGATCATGTCAACTTTCCCTTAATAACCGTGATTTAACTAAAATATGTTGCCTCTTGTTTTTGATGATTCCAGGTTTCTGAGTTGAAAGTTTCTCTGGATCAACATCTCATAGAAATAAATTTCTCCTCTTCTATAGGGATTGACCAGTGGGGGAAGGGAGGTAGTCAGGCACTGAATTGTGTGAAATGTGGAGAGAGATCTGGGTGTGTAACTCTTCTTATCTAGAAGGCTTTCAACCAGTTCTTCTGTTTTTAGAATAAATTACACTATCACTCTAAGAGCTAAGTAGTGTCTCCAATTCCTGATCTTTTCAAGGATTCTAGAGCATGAGTAAGCCTAGTTCTGGCCTCCACACTGACAGCTTTGATTAAGCTTTTTTCAGTATGCTAAGCAGTAGTCCTTTCCCCATCTGACTCTTTTCCATCAAAATTGTTTTTCTGTCATCTCCTGCCCCATCTTCTCTAGCCTTGTCCATGGGTGTTTTTTTGTTATTGTTACCGTTGTTTTATTTCCTGACCACGGCTTTAGCATGGATTCAGGGAGAATGCATGAAGAATGCATATGTTTAAAACAGTCGATTTAAGTAGAAGTAGAACTAATTCTACATGTTTCTCCTAAACATATAGCCGCTAGCTTGCAGACTCTCAGGAGCTATTTCCCAGCAAAAGAAGAATTGTAATTAATTAGCTTTTGATCAGAAATATTTGTATAAATGACTAGGTCAGATTTTAGGAGAAAAATTAAATCATTACATGGTTATGAAATCTGCCGGTTTATAAATACAATTTTATTAAGGAATTATACTTCCTAGAAGGCTTGGAATGCTTTTAAAATTCTTAAAAAATAAAATGATAAGTCATATAAATTGAAGAACCTAGTATATTTTCCCAAAATAGTAACACAGAGAAAATAGTATTCTTGATTGAAATAGTAAAAAAAAATAAAAATAAATTGGTAGTTGTTTCTAAAAACCTACAGGGTCCAATTTTTTTACTACAAGAATTTTTAAAAATTATGTGGGAAGAAATTGCTAATTCAGATTAATAAATTTTCCTAAATTGATCAAAATGTTGGTGTCACAAATATTTCAAAATGTCTATTCAATAAAAATCACCTCATTTTATATCAATCAGCATTGTAGCAAGTTCCTATTCTGAAACTAAATTTTGTCCTCTACATAATGAGAAGTTAGCACTAAATTTTATTTTAGGTCGGTATGAGATCTAAAGTCTAGAAACTTATGATCAGAACATAGATTTTAATGAGAGATACACATTTTCACTATTATGAAAACACTCCAGGACTACTGATGGACATAAAATTAATATTTTATGGGGCACTTTTTAGGGACAAACTATCACAAGGGATTCAAGACTAAATTCTAATATTATTTATTACAATTGTCGTTAAATCCAAGCCATAGTCTGCCTCAGCTTGTTGTTGCAAATATGATCCTTACCTGCAGATATTTTTGTATTTCATATTCTACGCCCACCCTGTGTTCCCAGTTCTACTGATGTTGATGAAAGTTCCACTTGTGGAACCAGTTTAAAAAAGGAAGTAGAAATCTGCCGTGCAGGTGATGATTCTAAAACCATGGCTCCAAACAGGAAAATCGGTCCTACTGTTTTTTAGCATTTTCTAAAATAGTTAAAGCGGATGTACCTGAAAGAAAGTTGCTCACTTGTTTATGGTTTATAAACATGAGTATCCATTTAATTACAGTCCAACATCAAATAAAAATCCAAGCACAGAGGAATCTTAAGACTGCAATCCAAATTTAGACAGCAAGGCTTCCCAACTTAAATGCAGCATTAATATGCTAGTCATGTTCTTATTAACAGTGATAGAACCAGTTTTAAATTATCAAGATTCATGTAGAGAAAACATCCTTGAACCTAAAACTGTAGTCTTCAATCAGGGTTATATTTGGAACACATGGATTCCTCAAATAGGCCTGGTTGTCTCCATTGTGAGGTATTCTTATCAGTTGAAACATGTTCGAAAATTTACTAAAGAAATGTACTTATCCAAACCTTCAAGAATAGGCATAACTACTTAAAACACATGCCTAGATCCCCATAAGATCTTCTCTGGAGCTGAAGGTAAGGCATTCCCTGGAAAATGTATATTAGAGAGATGTCACATTTATTCATAGAGTCTATAATTTAATACATTATTTTCTCATATAATATAATTTTAGACAGCTTTCCAATAATTCTTGACCACCAAAACAGTACTGAAAAGAGCACTACGCTATGGTCTGCATCACAGCGACATTTCACTTAAACAACACAGAACAAGACGTCTGTCAAGTCCAAGTCGTGTTGGGAAAATCCCAAAGGCAGTCACAGAAGAGGAAGGGAACTAAGCTCATGCTTTCCGGCACAGCTGTGTGAAGGCGACACAAGCCTTAGAAGAGTAACAGGGCCTAGGGAAGCTGGAGGGAGCAGAGCTACTGTTTCCACCCAAGGGTGCAGAACTACGATGCTGATGCACAAGTCAGCCTGGACAGCGAGAGACAGAAGAGATAGAAAAGTGCGGGTATAATGCAGAATAGTCCTGGAAAGGCTGTGTGGTCAGAGGAGGAAGAAGAATATTTTTTTAAGTCCTTAAAAATGTCATTTCCCCCTTTGTATTTGATTTTCAACCCAGCAATATATGTTTTTTTAAATTATTATTATCAAACCTATTGTGGTGGCAACGCAAGTCACAATCTCTTATTCAAAACCTTTGGGGACTGTTTTTTAGAATATTTCAGATTTTAGAAAGATAATACAGTTCATATACCATGTATTCTATAACACACCCAGCAGGGTCTGTGTTGATACTGTGTAATCAAACACGTTATTTCCTGAGCTAAACAGGATTCTTCATACAAAGTAGGGTAAATTAAGAGTATAAAGTCTTTCCTATTTTTCTATTCGAGTCATTTCAGGTCACAGGATGCCACCAAACTAGCTCACATCAGGTTTTGCTGAAAAAAGTTACCAATAAAACCCAACAAAACAAAACAAAACATACCCATTCTACTTTCAGAACATTTTAGATTTTAGAATTGTGTTTAAAGTACTGAAGTTGTATATTTTAAAAGTTCATGACCAAAACTATAATAACAACAAAAGCACAGGTATGCACTCTAGAAAGTTATATTGTAGAAGTGTTTAATTCATTTAAATTAAATTTAGTTTAATTTAAAATCATATATGAACCAAAATACTAAAAATAGTATTTTTTTTTTTTTTGGAAAAAAGTATACGCAACTGGAAATATCTGATGAGTGGAAGGGGGCCCAGGGGCTATCCTGTGGCTGGGAAGTGTGGGTAAGGCCAACCTGTGCACCAATAAGGACAGAGAGAGAACCCGGGGATGCAGGGGCCTGAGTTAACGCCAGCGGACACCTAAGGGCTATAAAATGCTCGAGAGAACGGGACATGGACTACTTCTCTCTCATCCTCTCCAGGAAGGGAGCAAGCGCCTGAATGTGGAAGGTGAATCACAAATGAAGCCCTGTCACCTGCTTCTCAGTCACCTGAATAATTACATGAGACTCAGCACAGATCTGATAAATAGATCAAGTACAGTTGCAATCACTGTCCTAACTATGTGACACTTGTCCTGCACTGAAAGAAAAGGAAAGGGGGAAGAAAAACAGGTAGAAAAACAGGAACTCCTCATCTGTTACTTATGTCTGAAAAACTTTAAGGAGAGAAAACAATCCTTTTATTCTAACACTAAAGAGTTAACAATTAAATGCAAGTTCTCAAAAAAAGACAATGGGTTGATGGATAAACCTGTACAAAAGACCAAATCGAATGCAGACCCTTAATTTGTCTTGGTGGGGAAGAAAGTAAGGAGACCAAGAGGATTTTAAATGTATTTGCTAACAGCAACAAGTGGAAAAATGAGACCGAGAACAAAAATAAATCAACAAACACTTTCCAAATGGCACAGCATTGCCCAAGGTACTGATTACTTTCCAAAGAGTTGGATCAAAAACAGACTGTACACAGAGATTTTGGTCTTTCACAAGCCAAGTCAAATAGCTCCACTTAACGTGATGCACATTTAAAAAATAAGAATAGCGGAAATCCCACATAGGTAAAATTAGTGAAATAAGTTACAGTATTTACAGCATGATCTTTATGCAAATATAAACATGCATTTATATACTTATATAAAGAAGCATGTACACTCAACACTAACAGTTATTGGTGGGATTTTAGTAACATTTAATATCTTAATCTGTTTCTTAAGTGTTCCAAAATGAATATGTATTATTTTATCATAAAAATTATCAAAATTTCCAATGCAGATTCTTCAGGAAATTAATGAGCTATCATTATCTTATACACTTTTCTTTCTCAACTAAATAGAATTTATTTTTTGGAATAAACCATAGATTTTCCCAATGGACATAACAATAAAAAAGAGATCTCAAGGTGCAGGACAGAAGAAATCCAAAGTAGACTTGATTGTGGTTTTCTAGGAAATTTACTTACAGTACACATCCACTCTGATTGACTTTATCGCTGGGGACCCCAAGCCATTCTCTGCTTTACAGTAATACCGGCCTCCTTGGTGTCGCTGAATATTTGTAATCCTCAAAGTCTCATTGAAGACACTCGAGTCTTGGAATCTGTCAGAGGCACTTCCTGCTGTTTTGGTCCACCTGATCTGAGCAAGCATCAACAAAGATTGTTACTTTAGGTTGGTTCTCTCACAGAAAAATCTAATAGCACTTACTCATTTGAAGAGTTTGCTTTCAGAATTGCTATAATGCCATTCCCGGCAAGTTACTGAAAATGAAAAAGAAAAATTGATGCACATCATTGAATTATAAAATGTTAAATGCAATGCCATCGTTGTATATTGGATGTAATTCTAATTCAATTGCATAGAATTCAACAGCAGCTTGATCAGTGTGGAGGGCAATATAAATATAACATAAAGGGAGGTAACTGTAAGTGGTGCATTGGAAATATGAATTAGTTTTTCTTTTTATTGAGCATTTAAAATTTTCTTTCTATATTTTCCAAATCCTGTGAGGTACTTTTTATTTATTTAGTTCAGGTACCATAGCAAGCTCTCAATTTCTTTTCGGACATGCTTCATTATTTATTTTAAATTCCCTATTTGATTTGGATAATTTAAGCATATTACTATGACGGCTTATTGAGATTATGTATAACTTTATACACCTGGTTGTTAAAATGTTTTTTTTTTTATAGCTTTGCTGTAATAAGCCCACAAATGACTTGTCTGTTTTGATAATTAGAATTCACTTTACTTCAATAATTATTTTCACAAAATGTGCAAACTTTTCCAAAGAGAACATTTCTATTAAACTGCCAAAACACTTTGAATATCTACAACATTCCATTATAAACAATACCATTCTTTTAAACACAGCTGTGTACGACAGACCTAGTTTTTGCTAGAAGTAAAGATTGGCATTCAACTCAAATTTTGTGTATTTTAGTTTATAAAACCTGAACAAAAGGCACATGATGGTACTGTAAAGTGATACAAAATAGGAAACAAAAAAGGGTCTGGTTTTATTTCTCTCCTTGTCCCTGCTGTACAATAATTTTTTTGTTTGTTTTTACTTTTAGGTCGAGAAATGGCTGATAGAAATCCTCTGGTCAAAGAAACATGGAAAAAGGCAACTAAAGGCTGAGTCTTCAAAATTGAAATGCTATAATACTGCCATTATCTATGCTGTTTTCATATAACGCTAACTAAAATTTATGATCCAGTGACATTAAAAGTATCTTTAAAAAGTTCTCCAAATCATTAAAATATCAGTATGAATATAATCATGTTTGCCCTTAATTGTGAATATGAAATTTAATGTTGATTAACTCTATAAGTGGGACTGGGAGAAAGAAGAGGATGATAGTGAAAACATTCTCTTTAAAAAAAATTCTTATTTAAATTCTTATTTACACTTAATTTATTTTACCAGGGGCAAATATTGTGTTTATTATAAATAAGTTTAAGAGAAAGAAATACAATTCTGCAGTGAAACGTTAAGAATACGAAAACTAGAAAAGAATAGAGAGAAATGAAAATAATCACTTATGGAAAGTTTTTTCCCTTTTTTTCCTCTACTTTTTAAAAACAAATATTGAAAAGAAAATATTCCTGAGCCACAGAATGACATAAGTCTACTCATGGCAAGGGCTTACCAAATTATACGTCTAATTGATGAGAAAAGAAATCCCAGACATACAAAGAAAATTGTATAGGCTTCCAGGCAGAAGGAACAAACTGTGACAACGTGTCACAGCCTGCTCATTCGCTCACTGACGCTCCTCTGCTTCTATTGTAACTGAGCCCCAAATCATTCACCGGGCACCGGGCTGTCCAGCTCAAGGACAACACTTCCCGGCTCCCCAGGCAGCTGTGTTCTGGCCCATGCGTCTCAAGTAGAAATGTCCTGAGAGCGAAGCAGCGCTCCACATTTTGCTCATTTAGGCACATTTCCACTGGCTCCCATCTTGGACCATGAGCTGATTTGGAATGAGAGTCAAGCACAGAGAAGTGACAGAACAGAAGAAATCTGAATCTCTAACATTACAGGCTTGTACCTACCTGACCTGAACTATGTACAGCCCTGGGCTTCTACTCAGGAGAGAAATAAAATTCTATTTATGTCATACTTTTTGGAGGTTTTCTATGACTAACAGCCAAATTTAATTCTAATTGAAAAGCCTGGGGTGGTACGGGAGGTCAGCTTGTCTTCAAGCATTCTCATCTCCGACACTAAAAGCTCACAAACAGCGGAGCAGCGTCTGCATTTTCTGAGAAAGGTGGGAGCAGAGTCTATATCGCAATATCTGACAGCCAAGATCTCGTTTATCTTAGTGTGAAAGAAAAACCTTCAGTGATACACAAACATTCAGTAACCTCAGGGTTCAATAACGCTGCCCAACAAAAGTACTTGAGACAGTATTCTAACCACCCAATGAATAGACTGGATCTGAGGCCTTGGATTTGGAGAAGATACAGAGAAGCACAGGGTGGTGAGCAGTTAATATTGATCACATGCATTTAATGAACAAGTATGTTTTACCTGGGTAATACACAATTTAAGAACTAAATAAAGTTTCTTAAAACCAAAAGGACATAGAATAAGGGGATTTGTAATCTCCTAGCAAAACCCAGGAGTTTGGAGTGGGGGTAGGACACTCAGAGGAGGTGAAACTCTTAACGCCTGTGGGAATGGAAGGAAGGGGGAGGAGAGAAGTAAGTTCTCTACAATCTCGAACTTCAGGAGAGTTGGAAGCAGAAAGAGTGTCTTTATGGGAGAAACACTAGGTATTTTGCTTACAAATAACAAGAGAATCATAAATGTCTGATTAAAATAATAGAAAAATGTACCATTTCAGTAATGGGAAGGAAAATGAGATAGAGTGGAAAGAATAGAAATTTGATAAAATGAGCAAAAATAGAGCAAAAGGAAAAGAGAAATACATAATTTTAAATAAATAATAACCATAGAGTAAGATGGAAAGAGTTGCATCCATCATAGACTAAATGGGAATAGATTGAATTTACCCATTACAAGAGTCTGTTAGACTGGATTTAAAAGTAACAAGTTTATATGCTGTTTACCAAATATATATATAATTTAATATATATATTAGAACAAGGTGACAATAAGAGATTAGAAACCAACATTGGAACAGAAGGCATGGACACAGTGGTAACAGGAATATGCAAACTAAAATCAATCAATTAATCAGGACTGACAATGTTTATATACAATAAGATTAAATTAAAAACAAGAAATTTGCAGGGGCCAGCCCAGTGGCATAATGGTTAAGTTCACGCACTCTGTTTGGGCGGCCTGGGGTTCGCAGGTTTGGATCCTGGCTGCGGACCTACACAATGCTCGTCAAGCCATGCTGAGGTGGCGTTCCATATACAAAGGACAGGAAGATTGGCACAGATGTTAGCTCAGTGCCAATCTTCCTCACCAAAAATTTTTTTTTTAAAAAAAGAAGAAATTTGCTATTTAAAACATTAACAGGGAAAGAAGGTCATTACTTTATGTAATGTTAAAAGTCATAACTAATAGCAAAAATATTTTGTCATTAATTGGTATGCAGTAAAATACAGAGCAACTAAATTTATAAAAGAAAATTAGAAATGGAAGAATTAGAGAAACCTGCAGTTGCAGTGGGAAATTCCAATACATCTCTCAGAACTAGGCAGTTCTAGGCAATATAATTTTTTCTATTAAGATAAAAAGTAAGTAAGACAAGGAGAAATTGAAAAATACAATCAACATATATGACTAATAAAAAATATGGAAAATCTTCCATCCATAGAATAATGGATTTTTTTCTTATGTCCATTAAACATTTACAAAAATTGATCATGTACTTGGAAGCAAAGAAAAAGAAAACTCTTAGCTAATTATAAAAGCAGAGAAAGTACAGGCCATGTTGTCTGGGCTTAATTCAATACAGTTATAAATAATCAAAAGATGGAAAATACATGGAAACCCAGTCATTGCTCAAAGAGAAAATTAAAAGAAAAATTGCTAACTATCTGGAAGTCAGTGAACAGAAAACCATTTCATACTAAAATCTATGAATACAGTGAAAGGAGTACATACAGGAAAATATAAACCTTAAATACCTTCCATATTAATGAATGAATGAATGATTGAATGAATAAATAAATAAAAGTACTCATCTACCTTATTTTAATTTAATGTAGGTTGCTGGCTCTACCCTAAACTACAGTCTGTTAATCCATACAAGTAGAACCAATTCATCTTTATTTTTAATTTCTCCCCCTGGAGAGTCTTCTGAGCCAGCCTGGCATAGGTGTGCAGAATGTCATTGGAGAAACAATAGAATGCACAGGAAGTACTATAAGAAAAACGTTATGGATAATTCAACTCTAGATCTCAGCTTAGATCAGTAGATAATCTACATGTATCTGCTGAATGAAAACATAAGACTTTAGCTGAAACTTGAGGGGCTGGTGGATATAATGGTGAGGACGAGTTCAACTGTAAGTAAAACAGACAGATTAACAGTGATTTATACAAGATGCAAGTTAGATTCTGTCATATAAAAAAGAATCTGGAGTGCAGCAGGCCAGGGCGGGCTAAATGGCTCTACTCAGGGACTCAGGCTCCTTAGAGGTGCCTTTCCTTACCATGTGTTGCTTAAGCTCAAGGTCCAAAATAGCAGCTAGGGCTCTAGCTTTCACCTCCCATTCCTAGGAGCAGGAAAGAGGAAACAACACAAAGGGCCTGCCCATTGTCTCCTACCGGAGGTTTCAGGATGCCGCCACATGACACTGCTGCCTATATCGTAGCTACGAAAGGCTGGGAAACGCACTCTTGGCCATGCATGGCACCGTCCCCCCACACTCTGCTAAAATCTGATGGTTCAATAACTCCGGTTCAATAAAAATGTCCAATATTTGGGACAGCTGCTAGTCCACAATGGGAATAAAATATAACCACTGTTCAGATAGGCTGCATTATTAAACATGATTGTGTTTAAATCCCATTACAATGACATTAAACAATCATTTTCATGAAAAAAAAACATGAACTGAAAAAGAAAGATACTAGAATTTAGAAAATACGTTTTTATTGTAACTCTCTACAATGTGAAGAAACAACACAGAGATCCTCTTAGGTTGCA